GGGATCCTCGGGGCCAGTATCATAGGATGGCACAAGGCTTCTTCTCCTTGAAGGGGTTGGTGGCAGCTGGGATGCCCACCAGTAATGGGTCGCTCTTGGCCTGCTCCATGCAGAACTGCAGCAGGTCAGCGGCTGCCTTGGACACCTGTAGGTCAGCCCAGTCAGCCAGACCTTGGCTGTTCCTCTGCCCCTCACCCAGATGTGCCCACCTGGCTTTGGCCTCACCTTCATGCGGTCAATGCCAGCCTCCATCCTCAGCTGCTCCACCGCCCGGCGAGCCTGCCCGATGTCGCTGCCAATGGCCACCTTGCCAGACATCTGGGGGAGGGTGAGCAGGGCCATAGGTAGCAGGCTGAACCCCAGACCTGGAGTCCTAGGGCCACCCAAGTGTCCCTAGGGACTGTGGGATAGGGGTAGATGCTCCCCACCCATCAGAATCACATACCTCAGCTGAGGACTCTGGCTGACTCCTGGCTGCTTAGTCCTCCTCCTGTGGTCCTGCTCTGCCTCTCTCCCCAACCCATCTGGCCTCCCCAGGCTCCTCCTCTCTAACCCCTGCAGAGACTTTGAAGCCAGGACACTCATGGAGTGAAATGTCACCAGTGACAGCAGCAGCAGCTGCCTCAGCTAAGGGGTTCCCTGCCCCAGGAGGCCCGGTGGGTGCCCTGTGGCTATGTGTTTCCTTGGCAGGGGGAGTGTGGGGCCCTGGCTTCTCTATGACCTGCTCGATCCCCTGCTAACTAGCACCAGCACCCCTCCTTTGCCAGCCTCTGTCCCCCAATGTGCAGAGTGTCCCCAGGCTTGGGTGCAGCCCTGCCTCTCCTCTCCATGTACACTCACTATCCCGGGATTTACAACACAGATGACTCAGTCCACTTGCTTATGCCCATGGCTTCCTTTGCCCCATCCCAGTCCTTTCCCTGACCTCAGATCCACCTGAGGACCCTCCCACCCATCTCCCTGACGTCTCTCAACTCACTAGGCCAAAACTGCATTCTGGATTGCCTTCCCCCCAGACTTTCTGCCCCCAAATTCACCACCATTTACCCAACTGCCCTGGCCCAAATCTCAAAATTCTTCTTCTTTTTATTTTGCATTTATCTTCAGATAGAGCAGGAGGGAGAGTGAGAGAGAGAGAAATATCCACGTGAGAGAGACACATTGACTGGTTGCCACCCACACGACCCCAACCGGGGCCAGGGACAAACTACAACCGAGGTACATGTCCTAGCAGGAACCGAACCCAGGTCTCTCTGGTCTGCGGGCTGACACTCTAACTGCTGAGCCAAACCAGCTAGGGCTCAAACTTCTTTATTCCTCTCTTTCTGGTAACCCTACATTTAATCTTTTCTCAAGAGCCAGCCGATCAACCTTCAAAGTAGGTCCTCAATCTGGTCACTTCTCTCCATCCCCACATGGGTCCTATCCCCATCCTTGCTCACTTGGACCTTTACCCTGGTCTCTCTTGCCCCCACTCCCCTGACAGCTTCTATTCTCAAAGCAGCCAGTGGGAACTGTTAAAAAATAAATCAGAATATAACATGGATGAACCTTTAGGGCATTATGCTGAGTGAAATAAGCCAGTCATAAAAGGACACATGTATGATTCCATTCATATGAGGTCCCTAGAGTGGTCAAATTCATAGAGACAGAAAGTAAAATGGTGGGTACCAGGGGCTGGGACAGGGGGATGGGAAGCTGGTGTTTAATAGGGACAGAGTTTGGGAAGATAAAAAAGTCCTGGAGATGGATGGTGGTGATGGTTGCATAACAATGTGAATGTGCTTAATGCCACTGACCTGTACACTAAAATGGTTAAGATGGTGAATCTTATGTGTAGTCTCTCACTTTCTTTTCTTAAAAATATTTTTTATTGATTTTTAGAGAGAGGGGAAGAGAGGGGGAGAGAGAGAGAGAAACATGGTTGTGAGAGCTAAACATCTATCAGCTGCCTCCTGCATGCCCCCTACCAGGGACTGAACCCAAAACCCGGGAGTGTGCTGTGACTGGGAATCAAACCAGCGACCTTGCATTGCACAGGATGACACCCAATCAGTTGAGCCACACTGGCCAGGGCTCTCACTTTTTTTAAAAAAAACTCTCTAGTGGTTTCTCAGACTCTTAGAATAAAACCCACTCTCCTGACTGCAGCCCATAGGGTCCTGCTTGGTCTGGCACCTTCTGCCCACTCTGAATTTATTTATCAACCTCTCCCTCCTTTATTCCTCATGGATCACTCTGATGCCCTTGTATGTGTTCGCGTCCGTTCATTCATTCATTCATTCATTCATTCATTCATTCAGTATCTTTGTTGAGATCCCAATATATGTCCAGCACTGATCAGTGTAGGGATCAGCAGTGAAACCAAACAAAATCCTGTCTTCATGGAGCTGTCGTTCTAGTCAGAGACAGACAACAGCAAACAAAATGTATTAAGTGCTATAAAAGACAATAAAAGGTAAGAGCAAGACTCAGTGAAGTGACTTTAAAACATTTTATTTTATAATTTTTTTAGAAGTGGGTGGGGAGACGGGGAGAGAGAGAAATATCAGTCGGCTCCCTCCTGCACACCCCTTGCTGGGGATTGAGCTTGCAACCTGGGCATGTGTCCTGACCAGGAATTGAACCCGTGACTTCTTGGTGCATGGGTCCACACTCAGCCATTGAGCCACACCGCCTGGGCATGGAAATGACTTTTTAAAAAAATATATTTTTATTTATTGATTGATTTTAGAAAGAGGTAGGAAGGGAGGGAGAGACAGAGAAACATTGATTTGTTGGTCCACTCACTGATGCATTCATCTGTTGATTCTTGTATGTGCCCTGACCAGGGACCAAAACTGCATCCTTGGTGTATAGGGATGATGCTCTAACCAACTGAGCTACATGGACAGGGCCAAAAGTGACAATTAAAAGTTTTTTTTATTTGTTGATTTGAGACACACACACACACACACACACACATCGATTTGGTGTTCCACTTATTTATGCATTCATTGGTTGATTCTTCTGTGTCCTGACTGGGGATCAAACCCACAACCTTTTGTGTTGGGCTGATGCTCTAAACTACTGAGCTACCTGGCCAGGGTGGAAATGACATTTTGAATTTGTATTTTTTTTTAATCCTCACCTGAGGACATTTTTTGATATTTTGTTCAGATAGAGTGGGAGGGAGAGAAAGAGAGAGAAACATCGATGTGAAAGGGACACATCGAGTGGTTGCCACCCACACGACCCAACCAGGGCCAGGGACAAAATGCAACCAAGGTACATGCCCTTAGCCAGAACTGAGCCTGGTTCTCTCTAGACCGCAGTCCAACACTCTAACCGCTGAGCCAAACCGGCCAGGGTGGAAGTGACATTTTGAACTGAGTCCCAGAAGAGGAGGATCTGGGGAAGGGATGTTCCAGGCAGAGAGAGTAGCAGGTGCATTGTTCCTTGGTCAAGAAAGAGCTTGGTGGGTTCTAGAACAGTGTGGGGGTCAGTATGGGGAGGGCAAGTGGGGGTAGTGAGGGCAGGGAAGTCACAAGTGCCTTTGCAGGCCAGGTGAAAGCCCAGATTCTACTCCAAGGGGGAAGCCACTGCTCTTAGAAGGAAGGATGCATCTGATTGGTGTTTAATGAGCTCTCTGGCCACAGCTTGGAGATGGACTGGAGGGAAGTGAGTGCAGTGTGGAGGCTGTGGAGACTTTGGGGATGATGAGAAATACTTGGGTATAAATACTGACTCGTTGTAAACCTGAAACTAATGTAATGTATATATCAATTACATATACCTTAATTTAAAAAAAGCAACAACAACAAAAAAAACCCACTTGGATTTGGGACCTATTTTGTAGGTAGAATTTGATGGATGTGCTGGGGATAGATGTGGGGTGTGAGACAAGGGGAGCCATCAAACTCAACGCTTCAGTTTTTTAGCTTTTAGATGAGGTTGTTTGCTGAGATGTGGAAGACCACAGCAAGATCAGGGTTAGGTGGAGAGAAAGCTTAGGTGGTGAATTTGAGATCCAAGCAGGGAATTTCAAGAATGTCAATGAGGATGTTTTGTTCCTCCAATTGTGTAGGTTCATTTCCAGCCTTGGGGCCTTACACTGGGTGTTCTCTCCAAATGTGGGGCAGTGGAAAATAGCTTTTCCCCATAAGTTCATATATGGGGCCTTTCTTGGCCTTCTGGCTTTGGTGCAAATGTCACCTCTTTGGTATCCTTTCTCAACCACCTGTCCCTCCAACTAAGGCCACCAAACCCTTCATCTATCCCTATGCCAAAGACTCTTGCATCATCCTGTTGAAATCCTGAATAGCACTTAGCACTGTTGTTAACTTTCTATCTGACCAAACTGTGGGCTTCTGGAGGGCAGGGTCTGCATCTTGTTCACTGCTCAATCTGCATCCAGCACAAAGCCCAATGTATAGACTCCACAAATGTAGACTGAGTGACTAATGGGGTCTCCTCTGGACCAGACCTTATGCATAGTTAAGAAAACCCATGAGATAAAGTCCCCATCCTTGAGGATCTCACAGTCTTGCTGGAAGGAAAGAGATGTCAGCCCTGGATCCAAGAAGCAGAAACTGACAGTTCCTGACAACTCGAATTCTGTCCAAAGGCATCATTTAAGAAGCCAGTCTCTCCCCTTCAGGGTACAGAAACCAATGGACAAGCGCCAAGCAACACAGTGGGTCTCCAGCAGGAGGCAATAAAAGTAGGACTCTTTCTGTGGCTCAATGGTTGAACGTTGACCCATGCACCAAGAAGTCACTGGTTCAATCCCTGGTCAGGGCACATGCCCAGGTTGTGGGTCTGGTCCCCAGTGGGGGCATGCAGGAGGCGGCCAATCGATGTTATCCCCCATCAGTGTTTCTCTCCCTCTCCCTCTAAAAATCAATATAGAAAAAAAAGTAGGACTCTTCCTTCGTGTGAGGTAGCCAAATAGGCTTCCGTATTTTGCAGCAGGCCACGCCCCAGACTGGAAGCTGGCAGAAGACGGTCAGGTGACCAAGCAACTTCCGTTCTATCTCCCCAGTTTTTTTCTAAGCACTGTTTCCTGCTCTGTTGTAGAGAAGCGCATGCCACATACGGCGTTTGAGCCCACTGGAGGCCTAGCTTGGGGTTGCTCTGATCTGAGAGCGCGGCCGCGGGAGGATGGAAGGTCCCCCGGAGGGGGTTGCGCCGGCGGCGGCAGTAGCCGCTGTGCTGAAGCACAGCTCGGCGCTTCCGACTGAGAGCGCCCAAGTCCGGGGTTATGATTTCAACCGTGGCGTGGACTACCACGCGATGCTGGAAGCTTTCGGCACCACTGGTTTCCAGGCTACCAACTTCCGACGCGCGGTGCATCAAGTCAACGCCATGGTGAGGCCGGGGCGTAACTGCCAGAGTTTAGGGGGCGTGGCCTCTAGTAGCAACAACCCGGTACATACAGGGAGAGGGCGGGGCTTCCCGGGGAGAAGGAGGCGTGCCCAGTAGTTGGAGAGAGGTGGGGCTTAACCAGGGCCGGAGTTTCTGTGTTGGGAAGAGGAAGTTAACCCCCAGCAGCGACATCCTAGCATCAAGAAGGAGCGGGGACTGATTCTGGGTAGGGGGTGGGTTATAGTCTTTGTGTGTGTCCTCGAATGGCTCCCTAGCTGACCATGCCCTTAAGGGAAGAATTGGAAGAGCCTGAATCAGGGCAGGGCCTTGGATTTGCTCTTCCCAGCGGAAAGGCGGCGGGATCCTGCAAAGATGCTGATTCTCAAGAGGGACAAAGTGAGCGTGTGCCCTGAGAGCTAAGCTGTGAAAGGGGCGGCAGTTGCACAGGGGCTCCATTTCCTGGTTTCTGGTAGAAGTGATCCTCTTTCCTGAGTGGGCACGGCCTGAAAACCATGGGTTATTGGGCTGGAGTTTGGGTTCAGAGGTTAATTTGACCCTGCCCTTACAGATAGAGAAGAAGCTGGAGCCTCTACCCCAGGATGAAGACCAGCACGGAGACCTGACCCAGAGCCGCCGCCCACTCACTGGCTGCACTATTTTCCTTGGCTACACATCCAACCTAATCAGTTCAGGCATCCGTGAGACCATCCGTTATCTTGTGCAGCACAATATGGTGAGGAGCTGATGGGCTGTAGCCCTGGCCTCTCTGGGTCTCAACAGCAATGAGTGTTGGTCATTTTAGCATGATAGGGAAATATGGGTCAATTTTAAGTAGTGTGACAGGATTGAGTTTGTTTTGCTGCAGACCTTCCTACAAGGTTACTAGACAAAGGTATTAGTTCTGCCTGGAACGAGGGCAGGGTCCTCCTTTCTGGGCCAACCTCATTGCCTGTGGCTGCAGGTGGATGTCTTGGTGACTACTGCTGGGGGCGTGGAGGAGGATCTCATCAAGTGCCTGGCGCCCACATACCTGGGCGAGTTCAGCCTCAGGGGGAAGGAGCTACGTGAGAACGGGATTAACAGGTGGGGGGCCTGAGTGGTGTTGGGCAGGGGAGCTGGACTGAGGGTCTTGAGGCCTGACGCCTGTCTGCCTCCTGTCCCCAGGATCGGGAACCTGCTGGTGCCCAATGACAATTACTGCAAGTTTGAGGACTGGCTGATGCCCATTCTGGACCAGATGGTGCTGGAACAGAACACAGAGGTGGGGCCAGAACAACCTAGGGGGCTTGCATGGTGTAAGTCAGGGAAGGCACCGCTAGCTGAAACTGATGTCCCCTCCTAGGGTGTGAAGTGGACGCCTTCCAAGATGATTGCCCGGCTCGGCAAGGAGATCAACAACCCAGAGTCAGTGTATTACTGGGCCCAGAAGGTGAGGGACTAGGGCAAAGATGCCAGGCCTTGGCCTGTGTTAACTTGTTTCATCTTCACAGTCACCAGGGTGAGAGTTAGTGCTGTTCCCATCATCTGCACTCTTAGAGGAGGAATTTCAAACACAGGACAGGCAGTTTGTGTGAGGTCACACAGCTACTGAATATGGTCCTCATATCCTGGCTGTACTGCTACACCACCTGGGAGCAGTTGGGGCAGTGCTTAGCAATCCCCCTGGGGCCTGTCATAGGGTCCACTGTTCCTCAGAGGCTATGAGGTTCAGCAGTCAGAAAAATAACAAAGCTACCATTCTGTACGTGCCAGGAATTATTCTAAGTGTTCTGTGTGGGTTTTCTTACCCGTGCTTCCTCATCTGTGAGGGAAGTAGTATTGTTACTATCATTTTACAGTCAAGTAAAGTGAGGCCCAGGAAAGTTAAACACCCTGCCCAGAATCAAGCAGAGAGATAATGCAGCCAGAATGGGGACTAGCCTACCCCTACCAGGCTCTGACTCCTACCACTGTCCTGTGCTGCATTCCCCCAGAACCATATCCCTGTATTGAGCCCTGCACTCACTGATGGTTCACTGGGCGACATGATCTTTTTCCATTCCTACAAGAACCCGGGCCTGGTCCTGGACATCGTGGAGGGTGAGGTGCTGGGGCCAGAGGAGTGGGGGAGGAGGGTTGGCTGGGCCCAGGGCCTGACCACAGTGCTCTTCCCTAGATCTGAGACTCATCAACACTGAAGCCATCTTTGCCAAGCGCTCTGGCATGATCATCCTGGGCGGGGGTGTGGTCAAACACCACATTGCAAATGCCAACCTCATGGTGAGTGGAAACAGAGCACCTGGTCCCTAGTGTGGGGATGGCACTTGGCCTGCCATGTACTGGGGACACAGCCATGGACTTGACAGGCCAGGATCCCTGCCTTCCTGGGACTGATTGATATTTTAGTCAGGGGAGACAGACAGCAAGTTAGGTGGCAGTCATTGCCATGGAGAAAAATAAGGAGGGATGAAAAGATGGTAATAAAAAGGGGCAGTTTCCAAAAAGGAAGCTTTCTGGGAATGTGATCTGTGAGTAGAACAAATTTAGTAAATGCCTCCCTTGAGCCATGTGGTTGCCTTGAGGAAGAGTTCCCAGCAGAGGGAACAGCCAGTGCAGAGGCTCTGAGGTGCCTGAAATAAATCAAGGAACAGTTAGGAGGCCTGTGAAAAGGAGAGTGGGAGGTGAAGTAGGAAGGTGACAGGCAAGACTCGCAGGGCCCTGAGGGCGGTGACTCAGGTACTCACAGGCGCCCTATGGCAGCTATAGGGGTAACAGATGGGGCTGGGACCAGGGTGGGGACCAAGGAAGGGGGAGGTGGTTGGGTTCACAGGTCTTCTGAAGATAGAGTTGGTGGCAGCTCCTGCCAAGCTGATGTGAGAGGGTTGTTGCTATCTAGAAGGTTGGTCTGGGCAACACTGCCTATCATTTGCCCTGTAACCCTCCAACCCTCACTTTGCTTGGCGCTGACGTAGGGTTCCTCCCTTGCAGAGAGGGGCCACCAAAGAGCCCTCCTTTATCTGGGACACATGGCTCAGCCTCTCTAGCTGCAGTACCCTGCCGCTGTATGTGTGTGTGTGTGTGTGTGTGTGTGTGTGTGTGTGTCTCCTGTGGCTGGCTGACCATCCACCCTGTCCTTCCCCACAGCGGAATGGGGCTGACTATGCAGTCTACATCAACACAGCCCAGGAATTTGATGGCTCTGACTCTGGTGCCCGGCCGGATGAAGCTGTTTCTTGGGGCAAGATCCGGGTGGACGCAAAGCCTGTCAAGGTGAGGGTCAGGCATCCCACTGGGGTGCAGGGTCTCCTAGCTGTAGCTTTGGGTCCCATGGTTACCTGAGTCCCCTCCACAGGTCTATGCTGATGCCTCCCTGGTCTTCCCCCTGCTCGTGGCTGAAACCTTTGCCCAGAAGATAGATGCCTTCATGCCTGAGAAGAATGAGGACTGAGAGCTGTGGCTTCCCCCTATTTATTAGTTTGCAGACCTGGCCCTTCCCTCACTCCTTGGTCAGTAGCATGTCTGGAATAAATGGTCTCAGTGGTCTAGAGTCTGCGACTGTGTCCTTGGTGGTGGTCCTCTGGCTTCAGCCTGTGTCACTCTCAGCCTTGTAGGCCTCTTCCCGCCAGCAATGGATGCTGCCCCCCATGGCAGTCAGCAGGCAGGGCTCTGTGGGGTGGTAGGCCAGTGACTGCACCACACCAGGACCCACTTGCAGGGTCAGTGCCAGGACACCCTGTGAAACAAGGGGGAGGGGAGCAGTTATCAGCGAGCCTCCCCTCCCCCGACCTTCAGCCACCTGCTTCTAATGGCTTTCCAGTTACCGCAAAACTAGTCTGCCCCCAAATAAGCCCCCCTCAGAGGCTCTAACCTTCTGGGTGCTCAGGCCAAACACTTGGGAGTCTTTTTACACCTCACATCCCTTTTTCTGTTAATTCTGGTTCTGCTTTTAGATGAAGTTCACAGGCCACCCATTCTCTCTACCTTCATGGCCACCACCCAGCTCTGAGCCAGTTCTGTCTGGCTTTCAGCTTCCCTCCCTGTTGCCGCCATAGGTGCTCTACCGGTCCACTTGGTAGCGTCAGTGCTTCCACATCCTTCATCAACCCGCAGACACAGCTCCACATACATGGTTTCTCAAGCAGGCCACCGTTCCTTTTTATCTCAAAATGTCCCTTCAGTGTGACCTCCAGTCTACCAAACTCTCAAGAAGTAGGCAGAACGTTGGCGCTTTCATAGTCCCCAGAGTGAGAGCTGGCGGCTTGAGTTCCCCCAGTTCCCTCCATCCTCTTGGGAGACTTACTTCCCCTGGCCAAGGTCCAGCACCCACATCTCCTTCCATGAGGTTCTCCAGCCCTGAATCCACTGAGCCCAGCCAGTCTATTCTCAGCATGATGCCACCACCAGGCTGGGACGCATCAGGATGGGGCTCACAGGGCTTGGAGCTGGAAACCACAGGGTGCTCAGAAGTAGCTCAGGTTTCCTGAACAACCACACCCTCATCTCCCCCCCGGGGTCAGATGCTGCCATTGGATCCCGCACCATCAGGGTCAGTCCTAGTGGTTCAGCCTGGCATTGGCGGCCCTGACTGACATGGCTCCTGCTTCTGTCACTGCCATCCTGAAGTGCTTCTATTTCCTGACCAATGTGTGCCACACCTCCAAGGCTTAGCACATAACTATTCCCTTTGCTAGAATCCCCTTCCTACTCCTGCTTCTAAGACCACTCCCTTTTTCAGGTCTGGGAATGACTGAGGTAAGAACAAAGTGAGGACAGGACAGGTGCCCTGGTGCAATTTGGGGGTGGGGAGACTCACCTCCACTAGGTCCCAGAAGAACACCTTCCCATCCTCGGAGCAGCTGACTATGTGTGTGTCACGCTCACTCAGGCAACAGTCCAGCTTGTACTCTTGGTTCTTATGGCCTGTGTACCTGGGGGTGAGTGGGATCAGAGGGGCTTGGGCCTTACCTGGGACATAGGTGGTGGGGGGAGGGGCCCCACAACTCCAAGGACTCACTCCCCTAGTAGTTCCCCCGTGTCCTTGTCTAGAAGTCTCAACTTGGAGTCCAGGCTGGACACCAGGGTGCACTGCCCGTCCCGGCTGAAGCAGGTGCAAGTGATGGGGCCTGGGAGGAGGGAAGGAGTAGACAGGCGGGTGGGCTGGGGACCCCTTTGCTGCCCTTGCCTCCCCTGCCTGCCCCACAGCCTGGTCACACTCACTGCCCACGTAGTCTGAGAAGAGTTGCCCCATCCTCAGGTCATACCGCCTCACCCGGCCATCCACAGAGCTACAAGAGAGGGTAGATCCCAGCTGAAGCCTCAACTGGGCCAGTAGGTCCATGTAACCTTGGTGTCCCTCTATGCTTCGACCCGGCCAGGGCCCTAAGAACAAGGCTGAGCCTGTCCTTCATACTCCCTCTCAGGGCTGGCCATGGAAAACAAGCACTGAAGTGAATTCATAAGTGGAATTCTGAGGCACTGGCTTTCAGACTCAGACCCAGGGACCATCAGGAACCACTCCATCTGTTTCTGATATGTACTGAACATTCTCTCTGGGCCAGATCCTGTAGCGGGAAGGGAGGGCTTGGGACACAGCTTTGACCAAGTTAGGAGGAATTTCTGAAGCCTCATTGACTGAGGGTAATCTAGGAAGGCCTTCTGAGGGAGGTGATATCTCAACTGGGACTTGAAGGATGAGAAGGAGCCAACCTTGTGGGATCCAAGGGGAGATGGGTGGGAACAAGGTCAGTCAACAGGCTGGACATTTCAAACTACCCCCCACGATGGGGATGTTGCTTCCTTGGGTTGAGGCAACACTTGAGCAGCCCTACATGGGATTTTTTTTTTAAAAAACTGTCTCCTGCAGCTAGAATATCAACCCTGTGTGGGCAGGAATTTTTCCTTATTTTCTTGTCTTAGTCACTGCTATATGCTCATTGATTAAAAAAGTGGCCTGTGGGAGGTGCTTAAATACACTTAGGATTAGTAATAGAAGGGCAATCCAGGCAGAGGGAGAGCAACTGCAAAGGTCCTGGGGTGGGAGCATGCTTGGCATATATACCTGATATGAGGCTGGGAATGAATAAAAAACTGAGAGGACAGCAAGGACCAGACTGTGCAGGGCCTTGGGAGTCACCGTGAGAAAGTTGACTTTAAGCACAGAGGCAGCTATGCTCCCCATTGGCACTTGGGGAGGAACAATGTTCTGGCTCCACTCACCCTGCTAGGACCTCATGGTCTGACACCTTCACACTAGATATGCCATCCCTGGCTTCCTCCAGCTTCTGCACTGGGTCATGCCTCCGAGAGCGGCAGTCCCAGCAGCGGATACTGGAATCGATAGAGCCTGTGAGGCCAGCATGAAGGTGAGGTCAGGTTTGGGGTACAGGGGCAGTACCCTGGGCTCCCCTGCCCAGGCCCCACACTCACCGGACAGGATGACCGTGGCCTCTTCATTAAACTGCACCGTGTTCACCTTCTGAGAAATGGGAAATGCCACTCAGAGGTGGCTGGACTTTAAAGGACTGGGATAAAGGTAGGGTTCCCAGTGCAGATTAAAGTAAGGAGAAAAGCTAGGGGTAGGTGAAAGGTTTTGAGGGTACTGTAAGGACGGGACCTGGTGAATCCACTGTAACGTGTGGGGCAGTTCATGTCACCGCCTACGCGCTAATGCAGGTTCCCTCCGATATCTGTGCTCTAACGAGGCTTCTTTCTGCTTGTACTCACCCCTGCGTGACCCCGGAATTTACGCACGACCTGCCCCGATGCCACATCCCACAGCACCACCGCCTTGTCCCCGCCGCCGGAGCAGAGACTGCTGTTGTCAAAGGAGCTAGAGGCCAGAGGAGGGAAGGTCAGCGTCGACCTCCGATCCCGGCCTCAATGCCCCTTTCCTGGCGTGGCCCCGGCTCACCCGGCCGCGTCCAGCACCTCGTAGCCATGGCCGCTGTACGTTCGCAGCAGCGTCCCACGCAGCGGGTTCCACAGCTTCAGGGTCTTGTCGCTGCCGCACGTCAGGCAGTAATTGCCATCCACTGGGGAAGACCAGGCGGGGGTTACGGGGCCGCCGACCTCAGGAGGCGGGAGGCAGGCTCGGAACGAAGATGAGGGCGCTCACCATTAAATCGCACGGCTCGCACCGCTCCCTGTCCGCACTCCAGCGTCTTCAACCTTTTCTGCGGCAGCTCCGGGCCCCGCGGCTTTGGCTCAGGAAAAGCCATTGCTCCGGGTCCCTTCCTCGCCGCCTTACATCGGTCAGCACTGAGGCTTCCGAGCCTGGCACGCCTGGGTGTAACCTTAATATTGTCTCCTGCGCTCTACTTCCTGTTTCTCACTTCCGGGCTGAAAGTTTCGGCTTTTTGGAGATAATGTTGGAAATATAATTAATGAAAGCTGTCTGGAGGTTCCAGGTTTCTCTTCCCACTTACTGCTCCCCCGCCACTAGGTACAGTGAGCGCGAGGGCTGCGCGTGTTACTGTGAAAAGCATCCTCGTTTCTACGCCGGAAGAGGCAACTCCGGCGGCGGAAGAGGCTCGATCTCCTACTCGCTATGTTCACGAACAATATGTCGGACCCGCGGAGGCCGAACAAAGTGCTGAGGTGAGTACCCCGGCATCATGGGAACAAGGCTCGGGTTGTGGGTCCGGGCCCAGGGAAGCCCTTGCCCATCCTGGGGGCGGGATGTGACTGCCCCTGACCCTCGATTCTGCCGCAGGTACAAGCCTCCGCCTAGCGAGTGTAACCCGGCCTTGGACGACCCGACGCCGGACTACATGAACCTGCTCGGCATGATCTTCAGCATGTGCGGCCTCATGCTCAAGGTGGGCAGGGCGGCGTATCTCCGCGGGACAACGAGGTCGGGGGCAGATTCAGAATGAAGCCAGGCTGGTGCTGAGGGGGCGGGACTGGGGTGACACGTTGGACTGAGAAAGCCAAAGCCGTGGGGGAAGCCAGGGATCCGGGTCAGGGTGGGTATGTGGGAGGTTGGTGTGTGGGTGGGGCCAGGCTCTAAAGCACCTTGGAGGGAATGGTGTTGAAAGTGTGGGGTCCTAAGTATGATGAGCTATGTCAAAGGCTAGTCCTCTTAGACCTGAGGGGACGTGGTGGGGTTAAGAGGCACAGGCCAGGGAGCAGGGCCAGAAACTGTGTATCTGGCGTAGGCTGTGGGTGGATAAGACTGAGGGACTCTGGGGGAGGTGGGGCACAAGGTTCAAGCTGTACCAGTTGAAACCAGTGGGTTGGAACCAGTGCCTGGGAATGCCCCCAGGCACTGACCTAACCCACCCAACCTTCCACTGACCTTACCCACCCATCCACCTATCTTTCTGTAGCTGAAGTGGTGCGCTTGGGTTGCTGTCTACTGCTCCTTCATCAGCTTCGCTAACTCCCGGAGCTCTGAGGACACTAAGCAAATGATGAGTAGCTTCATGTGAGGCTGGGCCTAGAGAAGGAGGGACTCCTGAGTAAGGGGAGGGAGGACTCAAGCCTACCCATCCTGACCGAAACCTCTCTCCGGTCTCAGGCTGTCCATCTCTGCCGTGGTGATGTCGTATCTGCAGAACCCTCAGCCCATGACACCCCCTTGGTGATGTCAGCCTAGGGAGGTCACTTCCTGGACCCCTCTATACACCTCCCTCCAGGGCTGATCCTTAGCTGCTCAGCCTCCTTTCCTCAGCTGCTGGCTGTCCTGGGCTTCCCTGGGGTGAGGTAGTTGCAGGACCCTCAACTGAATGGAAGGAACCTGGACCTTTCCCTGGGGTCCCACTTTTACTGGGGCAGAGAGGGGAATACCCTAGGCCTACTCCTGCCTTCCTTCCCCACCCTGCCTGCTGCTGGGGGAGATGCTGTCCATGTTTCTAGGTGTATCCACTTATTTTCTTGTTGAAACCAGTTAACAATAAAGTTTTGCATTCTGGTTGTTCTCTGAGACCTCTCTTTCTGTGCATTGCGGGTACTCTCCTAGAAGGACTCCAGTTCTTCCACTTACTCAGGTCCAGTCTGGAGCCTTCTGGTAGTTCACTTGTTTATTCACAAGCCTTATGCCTTAAGTCAGCTGCTGGAGATGGGACAGTGACTCTCACCTCTGGCAATTCAGCAGATGGCCCTGCTGACCTGAGGGATCTGGGCTTTGATTTCCTTATCAGAGGTATAAGATGATGTCAGTGAACTAGACAGACTAATAGGGAATCGGAAAGGCATGAAAGACTGAGTCTTACCCCACTGTGAAGGAGAGACTGTTTCATGACTTGACTGTTGCTGGACAGGACAACTGGCCCCAGGCTGGAATGGGAAGATTGCTTACTGTAAACGCCCCTCCCCCCTTAGAAACTTTCTGATTATACTCGATGTTCATTCTGACACATATCAACATCCCTCCTTTGCCTCCTGCTATGTGCTGATTCCTGAAATGGGTTGTCCTGACCTGGACAAGCATGTGAAATAATTTCCCATACCTGGTAGCATTCACATACTGGTACATATGACTATTCCCCCACCTTTACACTATACAATTCTTTGGTACCTGCCAAGCAGCATGGGAATAGATTTCAACTTGCAGCCACCCAAGACACACCTGTATGTCAGTTTCCCTTAATAAACTATTACCAGAATGGAGTGGCAACTTCTTTCTTTGGTCTTTCCCCACTTTCTGTTTATGGAGGTAGATTTTCTGTCTTGGGGCTTTCCCCTGGGTCTGCATATACTAACAATTGGCAATCCAGCCAAGAGACCAAAGAAATGGGCTTTGGGAAAGGGGATCAACCTGGCCATCGACCTATATGTGGGGAGGGGTGGCCTGTATGTTAGTTAGATACATGTGGACTGCCGCATGAGTATGGGGACGCTCTGAAAATGCTGACTGGTCTCATGGACTTGTATAAGGAACAGCAAGGCAGGAAGACTTATGGCTGCAACTGTAGACTGGTTCCTCTTATGGGTGGTTTCGCTGGTCACAGATGCCCACCAGGAGGCAAAAGACAGGTTTAGAAAGTTAGAGGAAGAAGTGCAGCTAGAAAATATTAGAATGTCTACAACTCTGGTAGCATTGGGACTGGATGATGATAAAGGTTGGGGGGCAGGGGAGGAAGGTCCTTTGAATAGATGCCACCTCTTGAAAGCCATTAGGTCTCTGTGTCTTTATGTTCATGTGTGTCTATGTATGTGTAGTATTAGTATGGTAATTTCTACCTCTGAATGGTATTGCTTACTTGTAAAAGAGCTATGTTTAATTGGCTTAAAGGAATTAAGTGTTTATATAACTTAAGGACAGGGTATTCTAAATTTCTCAAAGAGCCCTGGCTAGTTTGGCTCAGAGGTTAGAGTGTCAGCCCATGGACCTAAGGATCGCAGGTTTGATTCTGAGTCAAGGGCATGTACCTGGGTTGCAGGTTTGCTCCCCGGCCCTGATTGGGGTTGTGTGGGAGGTAACTAATTGATGTGTCTCTCTCATATCAATGTTTCTCTCTCTCCCTCTCTCCCCCCCTTCCAATCTATCTAAAAATCCTTGGAAAAAATTAATGGAAAAATATCCTTTGGTGAGGATAAACAACACGCGCGCGCGCGCACACACACACACACACACACACACACACACACATTCTCAGAGATACAGAAACTAACCCAAATGCTTTTCAGATTCCCATGATTTGGGAAAATATTTGACATTAAAGCTAGTTTAAGAGGGCTGGTTTAATTAAATCAGATATGTCTTAAGAGTTATGAGAATAAAATATGATACCTGGCAGGTTTGGCTCAGCGTTGGAGCGTCGGCCTGCGGTACAGAGAGACCCGGGTTCGGTTCCCGCTAAGGGCACGTACCTCGGTTGCAGTTTGTCCCTGGCCCTGGTTGGTCGTGCGGGTGGCAGCCACTCGATGTGTCCCTTTCACGTCGATGTCTCTCTCTCTCTCTCTCTTCCTCTCTCTCCCTCCTGCTCTATCTGAACAAAAAATGGAAAAATGTCCTCAGGTGAGGATAAAAAAAAACACACACAAAAAAAACAAACAACAAAAAAAACATACGAGCTGATTGTATCTAAAGTCTCATGAAGTTTTTTTTTTATTTATTTTTTATTTTTTATCCTCACCCGAGGATATTTTTTCCATTTTTTGTACAGATAGAGTGGGAGGGAGAGAGAGGAAGGGAGAGAGAGTGAGAAACATCGATGTGAAGGGACACATCGAGTGGCTGCCACCCGCACGACCAACCAGGGCCGGGGACAAACTGCAACCGAAGTACGTGCCCTTAGCGGGAACCGAACCCGGGTCTCTCCAGACCGCAGGCCGACACTCTAACCGCTGAGCCAAACTGGCCAGAGCCTCATGAAGTTTTTGTAGGTAACCTAAACAATTGTTAAAAATGAATATATTTAATATATTTAAGTAGAATAAATGGTTTTTATTTTATTTTTTTTATTCTCACCCGAGGACATTTTTCCATTTTTTTGTTCAGATAGAGCGGGAGGGAGAGAGAGGAAGAGAGAGAGAGAGAAACATCGATGTGAAGGGACACATCGAGTGGCTGCCACCCACACGACCAACCAGGGCCGGGGACAAACTGCAACCGAGGTACGTGCCCTTAGCGGAACCGAACCCGGGTCTCTCTGTACCGCAGGCCGACGCTCCAACCGCTGAGCCAAACCGGCCAGGTCGAATAAATGGTTTTTAGATGAAACCTATAGCAGTAGTTGTAGAAAGTTTGTGTTACAAAGAAATTTTTTTTTATCCTCACCTGAGGACATTTTTCCATTTTTTGTTCAGATAGAGTGGGAGGGGGAAAGAGAGGGAGGGAGAGAGAGAGAGAGAGAGAGAGAGAGAGAGAGAGAAATATTGAGGTAAAGGGACACATCGAGTGGCTGCCACCCACACGACCAACCAGGGCTAGGGACAAACTGCAACCGAGGTACACACTCTTAGTGGGAACTGAACCCGGGTCTCTCTGGACCACAGGCCGATGCTCTAACTGCTGGGCCAAACGGCCAAGGCACAAAGAAATTTTTGGAAAAAAAAATTTAATGTGTGGTCAAGCTGGCTAATATTAGTATATATATAGTTAAGGTATTTTAATATCAAAAGTAGAGTTTCAAGATGGTGGCAGAGTAGGAAGATTTTTATGCACCTCCTCCCAGAAACAGACTGGATAAAACTAAGTTGGGAACATTCACCCTAAATTACAAACTGAAGTCTAACTGAAGAGGAAACTTTTATTCTCACCCGAGGATATTTTTCCATTGATTTTTTTTTTTTTTTTGGTATGTGCCCCTAGCGGGAATCGAACCCAGGATTCTCTGGTCCGCAGGTCGACACTCCAACCGCTGAGCCAAACCGGCCAGGGCTTTTTCCATTGATTTTTAGATAGAATGGAAGGGTGGGAGGGAGAGAGAGAAACATTGATGTGAGAGAGACACATCATTTGGCTGCCTCCTGCATGACCCCGATGGGGGCTGGGGAAAGAACCTGCAACCCAGGTACATGCCCTTGACTGAGAATTGAACCCACAACCCTTTGGTCTTCGGGTTGACACTCCAACCAATAAGCCAAGCAGGCAAGGGTTGACGAGGAAACGTTAAAAAAAGGAAGGGCAGAAAGCATCTTGAGCATGCACCTGCACAAAAGCTTGCACAGTGTGGTTGGGGTTGAGCCTCACAGTCAGCCAGCCTGAGGGGATATCCCACCCATGAATGGGACAAAAACAATCAAGACCAAATTACAACAGGACAGCCCAGATAACCCATATAAGGGACATTCTTAGAGCATCCAGCTCAGGAGATCAAAGAGACTGCAACACTGGGCCCCACAGGACACTGACTATATAAGGCCACCACACGAAGACTGGGGGGCATGGCAGTTCTACCTAATAAATAGAAACAAACACAAAGTGACAGCTAAAACGGAGACAGAGAAACAACAACTTAATGTAAGAAAAGGAAGTTTCTCCAGAAAAAGAGCTACAGTGTAAATGAAATGGAGGAAAGCAGTTTATCAAAGCATACTCACAGAATTTATTGGGAACTACAATAGCATGAGGAAGGAAATAGAATCTATGAAGAAGAACTAGTTGTAAATGAAGAATACCATATCTGACATCAAGAATACACTAGGCCCTGGCTGGTTTGGTTCAGCAGTTAGAGTGTTGGCCTGTGGGTCAAAGGGTTGTGAGTTTGATTCCTGGTCAAGGGCATATACCTGGGTTGAAGATTCAATCCCCAGCCCTGCCTGGGGTCAAGCAGGAGGCAACTAATTGATGTGTCTTTCTCACATCGATGTCTCTTTCTTTCTTTCTTTCTTTCTTTCTTTCTTTCTTTCTTTCTTTCTTTCTCTCTTTCTTTCTCTCTTTCTTTCTCTCTTTCTTTCTCTCTTTCTTTCTTCTTTCCCTCCCTCCCTCCCTCCCTCCCTATCTAAAAATTTTATTTATTTATTTATTATTTTTATTTTCACCCGAGGACATTTTTTTGTTGTTGTTGTTCAGATAGAGCGGGAGGTAGAGAGAGGAAGAGAGAGAGAGAGAGAGAGAGAGAGAGAGAGAGAGAGAGAGACATCGATGTGAAAAGTACACATCGAGTGGCTGCCACCCACACAACCCAACCAGGGCTGGGGACAAACTGCAACCGAGGTACATGCCCTTAGCGGGAACCGAACCTGGGTCTCTCTGGACCACAGGCCGATGCTCTAACTGTTGAGCCAAACCAGCCAGGGCTCTATCTAAAAAATTAATGGAAGAGTATCCTTGGGTGAAAATGGACCCCACCCCCAAATAGAATATGTTGGAAGGCCCTGGCCACTGTGTCTCAGTGGTTAGAGTGTTGGTCCATGCACCAAAGGGACATGTACGTGGGTTGAAGGTTGGATTCCTGGACCCAGTCAGGGTGCATGTGGGAGACAACTAATTGATGAGAGAAACACATCAATTACTCCCCCTCCCTC